AGGATGCTGTCTCTGGCTTCTCTGAAAACTTTTTCTTCTCTGCTCCTTTTGAATGGTCTATCCTTTATTCTTTCATTGTATTAATTCAGTCTTCAAACAATGGGGTTTGCGCTGGTCAGGGTGCCTGCTCCTTTACTTGGCATTTTGGAAACATTCCCACAGTCTTTGTACGGCGCTTGGTGAATGTTCAGCATTTCTCCTGCCTGTTTGTGTTGGTATTTAGTGGCATGCGAAAGCATACTCCTGCATGAAGCACTATGCAGCAATGCACAGCTTACGGTTTTACGTTGACTCGAGCTCTGTGGGGTGTAACCCTTCCACTTGCCCTTTGTTCCCGTGTGCTGCTTGTTCCTGTCCAAACCTTCTGCCACTCCTCCTCGTGCAGTGCTAACTGTGCTTTTGGGATTGTCCCGTGAGCCCTTATTTCAGTGCATTTATCAGCTTTTTCTAGTTTCACTTGTTTGATCCCAGCCTCTCTGTTCTGTCAGTGACTATGGGGAGTCGCCGTGCCGATGTCCTCCGAGGCTTTTGAGTACAATCTGACCTAAAATAAGACAAGAAACAGCAAACAGTTTGTTGGGTTTACTCACTGTGTTATTTGTATCCAACTTTTTAATTCGTAAATTGTTGTAAATTCCCAAACCTCCGTAACTTAGTCTTGCCTAGTTTTGAAACACAGTGCTGAGCAGCTTGGCCGTATCACGACTCCCAGACTGCGAGACGCGTGTGTGGAGGCAGCGGCTGCGGGATCCTGCCCCAAGCGCCCGTGCGAGGGCAGCGAGTGGTGCCCGTCGCTCCTGTTTGCATGGCCGAGCGTTTCTTTTTGAGATGGGAGTAACGCTGTCGGGGGGGGCACACTGATTCAGCTGTATGAAATACCTCTCACTGCCTATTTGAACATACCGATCCCGAAGGGCAGTCTTGAGCCAAGGCACGTCACCCAGAGGGTTTGTTCTTTCCTATCCTCACCTGCTTGAGGGTTTCTAGGGGGAGAAGTGGAGATAAATTGTGCAGAACCACACTCATTCTTTTAACAAATGCAGTTACGGGCCCGAGCAGAGCCTGTAGGGAGAGGTGCAGGCACTGAGCTGCTGCTTCAGAAACCTGCACGTTGCCCGATCCAGGCGGTTCGGGGTGCTGGGACGTGGGTGCCCCATCACCTCTGAGCACCCGGAGCCGCCGGCTGCGGCTGTGTGGGACCAGGCTGGAGAAGGAAGGTGCCGGTTGGATAGTGGAGTCCCCAGTTGCTAAAATTCATTGTGTGATGCGGGAGGCAGGTTCAGAGACTGGCAGGGAAGGGAAGGGACTGCAGGCAGACAGGCCCGGATGGACAGACAGACAGGTTCAGTAGCAAAGGGCCAGAAAGATGTTCCCACACTGCTGTGTGTGGGGCGGAGGAGGCCAGGCTGCTAAAATGGTTTGTTTGCAGAATATTCCTCAGGGGTTTTTTTGCAGTGTGATCTAATGCTTTGCAGGTGAGCAAATATGATGTGAGAGACTAAAGATACGACTGAGATTTGCAAGATCACCCTCTTCCTAAGGACATGTACCATCAGCTGTCTGTCTTGTACTTGCATTATCACATTCTTGTGTTGCTAGCTGAATGCCTGCTGTTTACGTGTTGATGAATGAAGTAAGATGGGCTGTTTATAAATTTGCATGATATAGATGTATTATAAAAAATACGGAAAAAGGAGGAAGGTTCTTCCATAGTATCTGTTTTTGCAGGTCTCACAAATATTTTCTTTTAATTGAAACCTTGTTTAAATGCCACAGTAAAACTGGCTGCCAGTCAAACGCCAATCACCACAGATACGTATGGCACTTCTTGTTATTAATTGGATGCGCATTATGCTGCTGTTCTCTGTACACAGAACCAATATGCAAATCCGCCGGTGTTCATTTTTTTGCTGAGGTATGTGCAAGAAAAGCATCCTGCTAACTCGGCCTCGGCTGTAAATGCAAAATAGGTGTCTCCATAATAGATTGTGTTGTTTCTTGATAAGATGACACCAATGTAATCATTGGAACTCTGCACAGTGTTCCCAATTATTGCAGGAAAACACTGAATTATGTTCTGTGCTGAGTTAGCTTGCAGCAAGGGAGCGTAAGTGCCTGCCAAACCCCGGGCACTTCGCGGGGCGCTTGCTCTGGCTTCCTCTGCGGGAGCCCTGAGCAGTGGCCTGCCCGAGGGGTCCGGGCGGTCGAAACGGAGAGCTGGCGTCCAGTTATTCCTGCGCCGAGAGTTCCCTCATCGGCCTCTCTGTGACTGCATGATCACAGCTTTCCTCTGAGGACATCCCACTTACGTCTTTTTTCTTTCTGAAACCCCTCGAGTGCCAAGTCACCTCTGTATGTCCTTCTGCCCTTGGTCACTGCTCACACACCGCCTGTTCACAAGGCACTGTAAGCTGTGTTTGCCACCCAAAAGTTTTGTGGAAAGCCATCCAGATTCTTAGTAAATACTTGTGGAAAAAAAAAAAAAAATAGGAAGACAATCATTTGCAACATGATTTTTGTTTCTCTCCTAGGCCGCAGCCGTACCGAGCCCTGAAAGAATCTGACAGTGCTGATGGGGAAGAGGCCATCAGTCCAGAAAAATCCAAAGAGCCTCTGCCTCCAGGCCCTCTCCTCTCCAGCAAGGCCACAGAAGTCAACCTCCTTGAGGACATTTTCCCTAACTTAGAAGTGGAAACGCAGCCTCAGCTTCTCAGCCAAGCTAAAAGCCTGGAAGACCTGCGGACTCCCAAAGAAGAGGGAGATCAGCGGTGCACATTTGATTACCAGGTTTGGACGGGGTTTCCCGTACGCTGGGGGGTTTGCCCAGAGCTAGCGCTGGCTGTCTTCCATTGTGCTCTGAGGAACATTTTCGTATTATTGGGTAGTCGCATCCATTTTCCAGCCATTTGTTCATGCCTTTCAAAGTTTGTTTCTGAATTAAGAAATTATTAGAATGGGACTCAGTTATAAGACAGTAACTTTTCCCACTAAAACTAGAGCCTTTACTTGTAAAGGAGAAAATATTTGCCCTGTTCCTCAGACTCTGTTTTGTCCATTGGCTATCACACGGAGTTATCTTTGAAGCAGACGCTCAGCAGTGAGAATGAATACCTACAAATTTTCAGGTCCCCTCCAAACTGCATGTTTTTTAAATGACCTTCTTTTAATCTGGTCGTTTTGGCCTGGGCATCACGTGAACAATCTAGACTGTAGAAGAGAGATTCTTTATGAAGAACTTCACTGAATATATGCAGCTTAAAGTGCCAAACTAAAGCAGACTCTGAGATCTTCATGTGGCATGAAAGAAAAGAATGTCATTTCTACCTTACCATAATATTTAATTTAGTGTTATATCCAGATATTTCATTTGACAGCTTTTCCCATACAGCAATTAAGGCTTCTCAATTTCTGTACCTTAGATAGAGGTACGTGCTCCTTACTTGGCTAACAACAGATGCCACAATGTCACAGCTGAACAACTCGTTAGAAGCAGAGCTGGAATTAAAACTGCAGAGTCCTGCTTCTGATTGCCCGTCTGTCCTTCCAGGTGCATGTGTTGTCCCTCTCCAGAGTTCCCAGTCTGTGGACAGATCCTCTTCCACCCATAGCTCAGCAGTCTGTCTTCACTTTATGCTCTGTCTTGTGAGGAGATCAGTGAAGTTAACGGGTTGTTTTTACACTTTCTTGCAGCGAATGGATCTTGGTGTGTCTGAGAGGAACAGGATTGTGCCAACCATGAAGCTGTCTCACCCTTACAACAAGCTTTGGAGCATGGGTCATGATGATATGGCTATTCCTACCAAGTATTCCCAAAGCTCGCCAGAAAGGCCCTTGAGTGCACTTGGTAACATGCCGCCAATCACCAGGAGGCCCCGGAGCAGAGACAGCATTCTGGGTCCTGCAGAAAAGGATGAATCAAATCCTGTCATTCAAGGGAACATCACCATTCCTAGGCCACAGGGAAGAAAGACTCCTGAACTGGGGATAGTGCCGCCACCACCAGCACCCAGGGCTTCCAAGCATCAGACTCCAGCTGGGGCAACGGAAATTCTCACCACCCACGCTACAGGACGTAGCCATGTGGTTTCAGATCTTATCCCAGAGCCCTTTGGAGTTGGTAGCGTGTCCTTAGACCCTGAAATCCAGCAGTCTGTAAATTACTCTTCTCATCCATCTCAGCTGTTGTCCAGTGCTACCAGCGCTGCTGAGATGCTCCAACCTGTCAAGGTGAAGACAGATAATACAGGTAATGAAAGTGACTACCTTCTAAATCTCCTGGATCCATTAAAAACAGCCAGCTGGCAAAGCAGTGGCGCACAGCAAGGGCCCCGTGGCCTGCAAAGCTCCGCCACTCCACCTTCTGCAGCTAGCTTCGTCTCGGTGGCAAGTGACTTTGTGCCTCCTCCAGCTGCACCCTTTGTCCAGCCACTTGGTTACCCTTCCCCAGCACCACCACCTTTTTTACAGCCGTCTCCTAATCCATTTACACAAACATTGCCAGGAGCCCTTTCAGTGTCTCTAGTTAGACCCCCAAGGGGCTCTTTCACCCCCTCTTTAGGTCACGCTTACAGCTCTAGCTTCATAACACCTAATTCTAGCTTCTACCCACCACAAAGACCTCAACCGCACATTTCAACACTATCCATGCCAAACTTGTTTAGCCAGGCTCCGCCAGCGAGCTCCTTACTGCTGCAGAGCCACAGCCCTTCGCCAACAGGCTCTCTACAGCCACCGTGTTTAAGTGGTCCTTCTAAAACCAGAACGTTACAGGTGAGCCAGTCCAGCTCAAAGGTAGATCCCAAACAAGCAGTAGCTCTCCTGTCTAATGAACCCGCTTTGATCCCTTCCAGGCCAGCTAAGGGCTTAGAGTCAGTGTTACTGTCCTCAAAATCTGAGGAGACAAAAGATCCATTTGAAGATTTGTTAAAAAAGACAAAGCAAGACGTGTCATCCACACCAGGTAAGGTTGAACAGCTCAGAAAGCGGTGGGAAACCTTTGAGTAACGCTCCCAATGGCCTTTTGATGTCCCTTTGGAATTGACAGAGGGTTTTTTGGGGGGTTTTTTTGAGCCAGCATAAAACCAAGCATTTCTTTTAAGGAAGGCTGAGCCAGGATAGCTGCAGGACCATCACCGTGCTGCAATTCACACACGAGTGCTTTTGCCCCGAGTTCAGAGTCCCCCCATTGTCCCGGTCCCTGCAACTGCTTCCTCACTCTTTGCCACTGAAACCCCCCGGGACTCTTGCACTGACCAAAGCACGAATTGTGGAAGGTTTGGGGTTTGGTTTGGGGTTTGGTTTGGTTTTCCACACATAGCTTTTCAGACAATACTACTGATGGAGAAGTTACGCCTCCCCTTGTATTCTCAGTCCTTAGCCCAGCCGGGAGCGTGGCACGGCACGTCGGACTCGTGTGTGCGTCCTGCTGTGCGAGCGGTGGTCAGTTTTTCTGGCATTCCCCATACAGCTGCCGCGTTCTGCTTCCACATGTGAAGCGCAGCAGACAAACCCAGGCTTGTGGGCTGCGCTGAATGAACCCATTAGGCTCTGTTTGTCCTGTCTCAAAATACAGATGTTCATTTAGGTTATACTATTGGATGAGCTTTTGTTGCAGATTTTTGATTTCCCTCCCCAGTACACTGACACTGAGAGGTAACGGGGACCCCTCTGGCGCAGAATTGTCATAATTCCTTCTTGCAACAAAACCACGGCACAGAGCAGTTGCTCAGGGTTTGGTCCTGCATCTCTGTTGGGAAACTGGAAACACCAGCAATTGATTTTCTTTTTGGGGCTTTTGTTTATTTGTTTGTTTTTGTTACATACATCAAAAAATAGAGGCCATAAAGAGTATCCTAGTTCTTATATATGTGTATGCTAATATTATATATGTATTATAGATGGCAGTATATGAATGGGATGTAACAATATCTTACTTGGTTATTAAAAAAAAAAAAAGAGAGAGAAAAAAATTGGGGTATAAAAGCTCCTGAGTTCAAGTTAGATGGCAGTGCGCTGACCAGACGGCCGGAGTGTGGAGAGCTGAGAGCTGCGGTGCTGGTCAGGCCGGCAGAGCCCAGGCCCGGGGCTGAGCGGGGCCGCAGCGCTGGGAGGCCGATGTCTGACGGCTGCTTCTCCCCGCCGGACTCACAACTGCCAACTGCCGCCTTTGAGCAACGGGGATTTCATTCTGGTCTGCTCGGCTCCTTCAGCCTGTCTGAAAAACCACAGTCTTCATCCCGCGGTTGATGAGAACCGTTTGCTGGTATAACAAGACATTGACTGGACCACGACGTGGACTGTGAGGTCATGGAGTACAAAAATGCAATGAAAAGGTTAAAGGGTACGTTCATTCTTATCTTCTAAGACACTTATCTGTGGCAACAGTATTCTCAAGAAATTTCATCTTAATCTTAGCATCCCTTATACAACCTGCTGTCTTTGCAGTGATCATTATTTTTGTTTTACTTAAGTGGTGCTTTTTGTTCTGTTTTGTATTTGGGCACAATCTGATGTAAGACATGTTACTCTAGAAGAGGTAATCACGTCACCATTAAGCCTTGGATAAAGGAAATCATTTTGGACACATGGGGAAATTCTTGTAAAGCTTTATCTGATTTCCAATGTATCTATTTTATTCATATAATCTTGGAAGTTTTCTTACTCCAGTGTATGAGAATGGCTGTCTATGAGTTTGAGTCTGTGCAATACAAAAGAAAAATACTCTTAATATCTGAAATGCCAACAGTTTGGGAAAGACCATAGTACTACATTAATATATTTCTGTGAAGTACTGTTACGCTGACAAGCCATTCAGTTGGATTTGTATTTTCTCTTTGTGTTGGAAGACAGATGGTTTTAGTATTGCATAGTAAAATATTTAAAGTCTAAGATAATAGCTCCATTTTATTTTATACAGTTCAGAATATGAACGTTATGTATCAATTCAGTCTGGAATTTCAGATCTCCTTTGCTCTGAGCTAATGATAAAACTTTCTCAATTATGGTGGATATGTACAGGCACCAGAAGGTTCTGCGTATGACGTGCCAGTTGAATTTCACATACTCTTTTTTAAAATTTGTAACGTCACACACAGTTTATGTACCGAGTGGCCTATGACACACGCCTGCCTCAACAGGAGAACACTCAGGTAAACGCTTATCACTGCGAATCATTTTCCATCTCTGATTATTTTACTCTGCCCATATTATGGAGTATTTTATGAAGTTGCTTTTTAGACAATCAGGCAGCCTTGGCTTCTTTTTTTTAAGTCAATTTTGAGGCACTGAAAAGTATTAACGCTTAACACAAATGGCATTAATCACCTTTCACTTTCTTTCGACTGGGGAAGGGGGAGGTTGGCCACACCGCTGCAGTCGTGGAGTGCCGGGCAGCTCCTGCAGCTTGTGACCGTCCTCACTTGTTGAACAGGACTTGCGAGCAGGAGATTGGTTGACGGTGCTTCTCGTAATAAGGGACTCAAGCTATCCCTAGGGCAGTATTTAGTTTTTCGTCTTATTTAAACTCAGGAATTCCTAACATGATTCATTCCTAATAGTGCCAGATGTAACCAAAGTGTGCTTGTCTGGGAGAGCAAGTGCAGATGTGGAACATTTCTTTTTCTGACGGAAGTATTTTTGATGTTTACTAATCAGAAGTGTTACTTTTTACTAATAAGAAGTGTTCCTTTTACTGCCTGTCTGATATTATTCATCCATGACTTTATGTTCATCTTTGTACATTTCCTTGTACTCACCCTACTTGTTTCCTTGTTTGATACTGCTTTGCTTATTTACAGATGCTTTCCTCCATTAGAAATAACTTCTATTTAAAAAACAAACGACTTTTAATTTTCTGCTGCATCTGATGCTGTACAGATGGTAAAACCCTTTTTAGATCTTATTCACTCATGAGGTTAGAAACATCTCGGACACTGGAATTGGAAGCTGTAGAGACACACAAGTATTTTGTTGCTGAAGACCTTTCTATTACCTTACATACACGTGTTAATTACCAGAGGTTTGTGATTTCTCTGTACGTACCAGGGATTTTTTTTCTAACCTGCAATGAATGGTCTGAGCTGCTCCAATATCCCCCCTACCCCCCTTTTTTAATGTGTGTGGAAAAAATCGAGCAGGAGATTGACATCTGCCCAGTTTTCTTTCTGGTTAGGGGGTGGTGAGGGTCTGTCAGGAACAAACGACTGCAGTATTCAGTGGGGAAATTAATATCCCTTTCACCAACCATAGGAAACCACTGAGTCGATGACACCCTGAAGAAAGAAGTGTGCAGTAACATTTCTTTTGTCAAATAGGAATGTTTCATGCACTGTCTTCAAAAGAGCATGTAAGCGAATGATAGCTCACCGCTTCCTAAACTCTCTCCATTTGCACTGTGGGATTTAGTCTACTCTACTGGTAATATTTTTTTTAATGTGTTTTGCTCCCTGTATACTTACCGTGCAAGCTTTAGGAGCAAAGTGATTTTTCCAAGAGCAGTAGATTAATTTGGTTAGTAGTGAACAAGCAGCCTGGTAGTTGCTGCTTCTTACAACACCCAGGGTTGTTTTTTATTTTACTTCGCTTCTAAGTGTTGGTTAACAGCTTCAGGTATTTAAAAAGTGAACCAGTGAACAAGAGCTGCTGCAGTCCCACCCTGTCCTTCGGCAGCAGCAGTGGGTTGTGGCGATGTCTGCGCCCGGTTTCTGACGGTGGGCACTGCCGGGTTCCACTGCAACTGAGCACAGGTCTGTGACAGTCCTCTACCTGTATTGTCAAGTGGCTCCGTGGAAAGGCATCAGAAAACAAACGTGAGCTTGTGATTCTTTTTGTAGCACTGCAAAATTAATTGCTTGACAAGAGTTACAGACTTCTGCTGGCAGCACGAAGCTGCGGCAAGTGCACAGGACTACAGCTGGAGCTCACTGCGCACTTTGAGTGACATCTACATTTCCTGTGGCGAGTTTGTTTAGGTTATTCCCAGAAACCTTGTGCATCTTCCCAGAAGGTTTGGGAACCATGTTCCTGGGGCCATAAACGGGAGTGTCTGCTGTCTTTTGTAAACCGTTATTCCCATTGTTCGTCTTGGCCCATTACACGCCAGCCTGTGTTTTCATGAGCTGGCCCTGGTGTCAGACTTACCCGGTTGTGTTCAGCGCAGCGGTTCCCGCAGTGCCCGAGTGACGGTTACGCCCTGGGACGGAGACGTCCTGCTGTACGTGGCAGCAGAGCGGATGCGCGCGGGCTGCGGAGCTGGCTTTGTTTCTGCAAGGTGCGCTAGTCTCTGGGTGTCAGCTTTTATTTCACTGCACATGGACAGCTCCAGTTCAGCAATCAGTGCAGCCGCTTGAATTGCATTCAAGTCGTTTATTTCCACATTCTAATCTCCTTTCCGGCTGCTGCTCCCGTTCAAGAGGCCGCTCGGACTAAGCTCTGTCCATGTGACCGCTCCTGCCAGGAAAGCGCTCCCAGCACGTCCGGCAGCTGACTGCCGTCTCCCGTTCCTCTGGAAGAGGATTTCTGCTGCTGCAGCAATCTGTCCTGACTCATGCCACAGGATCCAGCGTTGGGTACCTGTTAGACATTTCATGGCTCTAACCACAGTCTCGGTTTTGTGTCTTTGCTCATAAAATAAGGGATTAATAGTAAAATGTAGCAGCACAGGCTTCAGTACAGGTGAGCAGAAAATGCAGCAGGTTTTGACAGCCCCCGGCTATGTTTCTACAACAGATCTTTACTGGCTGCTGTGCAGAGCTGCTTCACTCCCTGCTCAGGGCTCTGGTGTGTGACAAAAATAATCACATATTTAATAAAATTTTAACTGTAAAAGACGCATTGAGGTTTGCAGCTGTGTAAACTGTGTCACAGACCAAAATCAGCCATCTAGACATCAAGTTACTCTTCAGGGAAAAAAAAAAGGAAATCACAAATTAAGGTAACCAGTTCTATTTTTAACCAAATTTTATTGTAAATTTCTTCTGAAGGACATTCTAATTTTTTACAAATTA